TAATATATATATATATGGATATTGAAGATCGATAGCAAGCATTATTTATAATGTAAAATACAATTGATTTAGAAATGATTAGAAAGTCAAATGTATTTTTTAATCAATCGTTTTTACGTTAGTTTAAGCAATTAAACTTATTGGGCTACTTATTTATTAGCCTAACAAAAATCACCTTTTAATTTGTATAGTTATTATATAATAAGACACATTATGAATTAATAATTAATTTAAGTAAACAAACTGTCATTTATATTATGCAGACCATCGTTATTTGTTTTATTGTCAACTTTTCTTTTGAATATATCGAAATAAATGAACAATAAATACATACAATTATAGGAATAGAGACAATTAAAGAATAAAGCAATGAAGGAATGTATAAGAATAATGAAATCACATTCTATCTTTATGTATATGCATATTCAGAAAATGTTATGAATTAAGCAAAAGTATCAATTTTCTTGTTAAATTTTCAATGAGATGCTACTTTTGTAATTTTATATTGCAACGATAATGATTTTTATTTGTACAGTTTTATTTGTTGTATAATTAATGATTGCAGTTTTGTGATATTATATATTATTGTAGTACTAGAGAATTATCCAAAATAGAAGATCACAAATTAAATTTCACATTTGAATTTGTGGAAAAGTTTTATCATTTTTTAGTTTTAATGACTTTTAGTAAAGAAAATCGACAATATTTTCTTACGACAAAGTTAAGCGAGAGTTATTTTATTAATTCTATTATAAAATCATAAAAGATCCAACTAAAAAAATAAATAAAGTATATATAATACTTTTGACTAATTGATAATTAAGGCCATTGTACTTAATGATTAGATTTTGATGAAAATAAGCGAAGAACTCCCGTTGAGGATATACAAAACCATGTATTAAAATAACGATATTATACATAAATAGTGTACATAAATCTATTTCTAGGTAATAAAGATGAAAATAAAATAACATTCATAATTTCTTGTAATTATCGTTAATTATAATTTCATTATAAAAAAAGAATTTTTAATGAAAAGTTCATTTATATATAACAATAATAATTTATGAATGTGTTGAAAAAGTTGTTGGGACGGACCTACTACTCATAGAAATAGGGAGAGAAACGAAGAGGGTGATGGTAAAAAGAAGCAGAACGCTGTTACTATGCGGACTCAGCATACCAAAAGGAAAGGCGGTTCTACCGAGTCCGGCTAGCTGATTGGCTGAACGCGACGAGCCTCTGTTCGACCGGAATGACCTTCACATTCTACCTGCGACATAGGCGCCACACGATGAATCAATCGATCGTTGATGCACGTTGCTTCGAGGAAATCGTTGTTCGTCGTCGTCGTCGTCGTCGTCGTTTAGTATTTTTTACGATTGAATGATGCAATATAGTATAAATCGAAAGGTTTATTTTTGCATTTTTTTTTGCGTTTTTTTTGCATTTCTCTTGACCCACTATTTGTCTACTCATACATTTCAAGGATACATACATATATATATATGCATATTTTTATTTTGACCATTTTATGTACTACTAACTAATATAAATACGATATTTTTTATATTGTTTGTAAGCAAACAATGCGAGATTTCAAAGTGCTATTCTATCTAGTGTATCAAAATACAATTTCTATCATCAAAATTTGAAGAATAAGACGACAGTAAACTTTGATCCCGTTGATATAAAATACGTGTGATATCTAATCACATATCAGTTTGAAAAATAATAGAGAAAATAGATGTAATGTAATGTAATATTACCAGCATTGAAATCTCCATTTTGAAGTACTATCTATTAATATCTATAAATGATCTTAAGAGTGGTCAGGAAATATACTAATAATTAATGAAATAAATATATATTATCTTATCGTTATCGTAAAGTATAAAGTATATTGTATATTACGTTGAATGAAAATTCAAAGTAAATGAAAAGTGTGTGGCCACGCCACTGATAAATCGCGTTTTGGCTCAACACCGAGAAAACGTGACGAGATATACGTCACTTACGAAGAACGATGTATATGCATTTATATATATATATATATATATATAAATGTGTGTGTGTGTGTGTGTGTGTGTGTATGGTCGACGGAGAGGTCGTCGTATTCGAACTCTTTTATAAAAACCGACAGAATGACGAAGTAGGCGTGTCTTGTAAGGCACATGGAATTGCTCACGTAGGATGTAACGGACGATCTCGAAAGTTTCATCAGCTCTCTCATAGTGACGTGTACACAATGTTATATACATATACAGCGTCAAGCAAAGTTAGTTATAACTTAAGTTATGTTATTTTTTATGATTATTTTTCAAGATAAATTACACTAATTTTAATGGATCAAATTTACTTTTTGGAAAGTTTGCAAAGGATGTTCTAGGAAATTTGAATCTTTGGTAATATGTATATTAGTTTGCCACTGGCAACATGTTAGGACCACATGTGCAGTTCAAAGAAAAAAGAATTACACTTTTAAGTAGACTTTTTCTGTCAAACATTTGGACAAATATTTAGGGACTGACCTAACATTGGGTTCAATCCGTCAATGCACTTTAGTTTCTCGCTTTCCAGTGCGTAGACTCTCTCACTAAATATAAACGCATTCCGAGACGAAAACAGTATTGCTTTTATATATGTAAATAAGTTGAAAATAAAATAATAGAGTATACAAGCCAATATACAACACACCTCCTCCTATTAGGTATAGATGATTTGCAAGTCTTTTAAGTATCACCTATCTGATCTTTACTCTATCTTTAGTAGAAGATCTAACTTACTCTCGTTTTACTTTATTTATTGGCTCTTGGCCAAGATAGATCATTTACATATATATATATATATATATTGATATGTTTGTATGTAAAATGACGTAAACCGTGGATCGTGGATCGTGGATCGTTGCTGGAACGAACACAGAGAGAACACGAGAAACGGCACGTGCATCCGACAATCTGATAAGTTTATCATTGAGAACAAAAAGAAATGCTCAAATATATATTTTTTCATTGGACACACTAATTCTTCTTAGAATCTCATTGAAGAAAAGTTGAATTTATGAGAAAGTAAAAGAAAGAATTTTGACTAAAACAAAAAGTTGTTGATTTATTATATTTCATTGTTAAATTATATTATCGTCATAATTAACTAATTATTTTTAAAAATAATTTATTTTATTAATTTTTATATATTTATATTTTAATATTTGTTATTATTAATTTTTTAAAATCAGATAATTGGTGGATTGACTAATCAATGAAGTCATCATCTCAGTGAATTACATGTGTACAAATTTTCGTCATAATATAGTTAGACTGACGCAATAAGAAGTGATTCTTAGTTTACGTTTTAAATCGTAAGCAAGAAGATAGAACCAATGAGAAAGCTCCGTTCACAGGGGCTCGACTAGCGTCTCTCTAACTTTCGTCTCGAATATATTATTTTTCCTTTGAATCCTTTCCTTTCAACGTTAATGCATATAAATGGAATTATCCGAATGAAAAATGTATTTTCAATATTTTAATCTATATGTACTTTTTCTGAGCAACGAAATATCATTTCGTTAATTCTCACATTCTTTTTCACTATCAATAAACAGTAGTTGTTTATTGTTAGTGTTAGTGATGGAAAGACTCGTGTTGGATGTAATTTTCGATCGGCACGCTTTCTATTCGTAGAATTGGCGTTTCTTCCTTCTTTTTACAATTAGATTGCATAGAAGAAGATTTTTCGCACGATCCATCTTAGGATGGAATTTTCTATGAAAATATTCCAAGCAGGGATTCTCACAATCATTATTTTAACATTTTTATCGAATTTCAAATTACCAATTGCCGCTTGTATAACTAACCTTGGAATCAGAAAAGTATGAAGCTCGCGAGATAATGGGCTCAACGTCTAACGCACCTTTTATATAAGAGAAACTCGATCTTCGATTATTATAGGATAGATAGGCGTTCTATTATAACTGTATTCTAGGAGCAGCAAGTGTGCTAACAACAAAAAAATATATATTTCATGACAGCAACACATCTCAGGTTTACATGATCTTCAGTTACATTTGTATCATGGTAAACGAATGAGTCCGAGAAAACGAACGAGGAAGATCGAGTTGACACGTGATTTATATTACTTTTACACGCTCAGGTGAGATTATAAACTAAACTTTAATGGAATACTCTCTTTCTACTTCTACGAGATCATTTTTTTCTTTTCTTTTTCTTTTCATTGCAATTTATTTACACGATATCAATATATCAGATATTCGTAATTCAACATCAAAGAAGATTTTTGTAGAAGGACTCTCCCCACCGTTATTTTGAGATAACATACATCTGTAAATGTTTACAAAGATATACAAATTGATACGATAAACGATATCTAAAATTAGTTCATTAAACTAGTTATAAATAATATTTGAATAGCTTGAAAAATAAATGTTTCTATGTAATTATTTTCTTGTTAATTTTAAATGTAGGGTATTTTTGTTCGATTCAGTATAATGATGAAGGAATAATCTATCCTTAAGTTTGAACGATTCTATTGGTCGAGCCTCTAGCCGAGCCTCTTTATCGTACTCTCTTTCACACTGCTATAAATATCAAATTATACAGGGTGAACCGTTTGTAATGATCGGTTTGATTTTATCTAAAAATATATAAAAACACAAAACATTAAAGATTTGAAGTAAAAAAAATATATTGTCTATTAAAGTTATTTACATTTGCCAAGCCAATATAACTATGCATAGATAAGCAGCACCAACAGGCAAATACGAATGGCATACTTAAAAAAGATAAAAATAACCGATCAAAGTTCAAAATACGCAATTCATATGACTAGTATTTTGTTAACTTTGACAAAATTCACATGCAAAGATATAAGAATATAATCAAAATGAAGGTGATTTTGAAAAGGTCACTCGTCGCGTGTTATCCTCTATCATTAAATTATATTCTTAAGGTATATTATAAGATTCTATCGCGCGCGTTCGTTTGAAGGTCAAAGGTTTCAAGGCCCCAAGCCAGTGTTATCATTAATACTAAACGTAACTATAAACAATTACTTAATTATACTCTGTTAATAAGTTAAATGATTGAACGCATAAATACGTTATTATCTATTGGCATAAGAACGCAACGTTGTTATAATAAATGAATTATATAAATATGAATAGAAACAAATGGAATTGTAGATAACAGTATGTAAACGTAAAGGACAAACATGAGTGTGTGTTGTAACGACGTATGCCAGCTCTTGATTCTAGCTTGACAATCTGATTGGTCGAGCCTCTAGTCGAGCCTCCATCGTAAATGACCTAATGACGCGGAAAAGAGAATGCACATGTGCTATATATGTTAAAGGACAGGATCAAAGTGAAGAGTGGGAGGGGGGGGAAGAGAGAGTTAGGGAAAGAGAGACAAATAAATATAAAGAAAGGAGAAGGGAGTATTCATGTCCTTCAGCTATTTGCGAGTAACTGGAAGAATGGTGGGACCGCGCGATCCGAATTGACCAATCACGAATAAGTAGCTCTATTATAAGTAGACTCTATATACAGTTTAACTTAATTGACGAGAATTTAATCATTTTTCCCGTTTATCTTCCTCATGATATTTCTTTTTTATATCATTTTTTCTTCATTATTTTTTTTTATTTTTTCTATTTGTACACTTTGTAAAAATAATGACTTATAACTACTGCATAAACGATTGATGATTATTTATACTACAAGGAAAAATATATTTTCAATTTAGTCATTTTATTGTCTAGTTGTGAAATATAGAATTAAAATTGATGCAATTAACAACACGTGTATCGATCATAATGCAATGTTTCAAAAAGGAATAAAAGAAAAACACATGGCAGACGAGACACAATTGGGCTTTTCTTTCATTGAAATTTGAATTAGTAGTTCGCTTTTCGATTGGCATCGTTGGTCTTTCTCTCGTTTGACCTTTATTCGCAACGTCAGGAAACGATGTATCTATTATGTATCTGTTATGTATCTATTATGTATGTATGGTTGATATAAAGAAGAATTCTTTCTCTCTAACACACGATATTTATTCGATGATACTATACAATGTTGTTACAATCATTCCAAATTTACCATTCTTCTCACGGTTAATCTCAATCGTAAGAGTCATTTTAATTGTTCATTAATATTGTTGACAACAACTAATCGTAATTAAAATTCCAAAGGAACGAAACTCAACTATGTAATATCTCGATTCGCGTTCTTCTTGCGAATAAATTATACGATTATGCAATTTGTTAAGTTAACGAGCACCGGGTTGCCGCCGTCGCCACCGTTCGCCGCGTCCGTTGTGTGGAATTTGTTCTTTCAAAAGTGACGCAATTTTTGATGAGATTCTTGCGACAAGTATTTTCGATAAATATTGTAAACAGCTTGAAATATATACTTCGAACGGTGTACTTTGATCTAATTTGCAATTGAAAAAGAGGTGTATACAAGTATTTTCATCGCTGATCGCTTTTGATATTTTTCATTTCAACGTATCACAGCGTGTTTATTAGACACACCTAAATATTTGAGAGATTAATGAGAATACGAACTGATATTTTTGTATAGATCTACAACTACTGCGTAGATTCGCAGTGCGTTTACGATTATGATCTGGAAACGATCGACAAAGTGTTTCGAATTACGAGTATATTTCTACTTTTGATTCATCATTCTCGCTTTTTTTTTTTTTTTTTTTTTTAATAAGGAAATAATTTCAATGAAATATTTCATTGTATCATAGTATAATTAACCTTTTCCATTTGCACCGATGACTTTAGTCGCCCTTTAGTTCAATTTCTTTTTTTCATTGATTCTTAACTTTAGTTATATTAGTTTGAGACAAATTGAATAAGAAAGTCATTGATAAATTAATACGATTAGTAATGATTATTTTGATTATTAATTATTGATTTATTATTAAAGATTTGTTGTAATCGCGCTAATCATTTCTCGGATTCTAGATGAATTAAATATATCAGTCGAAGTTTCTCGAAGTTTGAAGAAAAAAAAATCCACACACGAGTTGTTTGTGCTTTTGTCGAGGTAGCATTTTTTTCTATAGAAATGAGTTATAACTCACCGACGTTATACAATTTTTTCAAAACAATTTCTCTTGGCATAGTACATATTTTTTATTTTCTTATTGTTTATTATACATAATTTTCATACGCTTCATAGGGAAAACGTTGGAAAGACGTATTGGCGTTTTAATTAATTATTCAAATGATATAGATAAAAGAAAAGAAAAGAAGTTTGGTTTTTTTTGGAAATTTCGTAAATGTTCACAAGGAAAGGAAATTGTCTTTTTTTACCTGATATTTTGCGAAATCTAACTGGTTACATTTGAGCAACGCGAACATTTAAAAAAAATGAAGAGGAAGAAGAAGAAGGTTTCGCGTTGTTGTTACTTTCCCATTCTCTGGATGGACCATTCCTGTTGGCATAATGGACAACGATTGTTCTGTTTCACCCATAAGGACATGCAGCAATAATGAAACGAATGATTACACTCGCCCCATACAACAACGCAATCCTGTCGTCCATAAAAGTCCTTTTTACTTTCTGCTTGACAACGTAGGCACGCATCTGGAAAATATCAAAATCGCATCATTATTTCAATATATTTTTCAATACACAAAGAACAAAATATTCCGTTATTATATTTTTTACCTACGTCTTTTAAAATCGTACATTTCTCTAAACTGATAACGATAATTTATAACGTCATTGGATATATATATATTTGCGTATTTTAATTAATCTTTTTTCTTTTTTTTTTTAAATACGCATATAGAAGGAAATTTTTCATTTTACAAGTAACACGCGAATTTTTTTATTTCACGAAGAACGTGAGAATGTATTTTTTGGTATCAAAAAAAAAAAAAAAAAAAAAAAAAGCGAGAATGATGAATCAAAAGTAGAAATATACTCGTAATTCGAAACACTTTGTCGATCGTTTCCAGATCATNAAAAAAAAAAAAAAAAAAAAAAAAAAATCTTGAAAAGAATTCAAAAATTTATCGAAAGACAATAATTGAAATACGTGACAGATATGACATACACACAAAGGTATAACAAAGGTTTTCACACGTAATGAGAAACGCTTTTAGAAAGTTTATTATTGCGGTGTAAAAAGAGTTGGGGGGAAGGGAAGGAGGTTAGTTATTCGATGGTAACCATGATATATAAGCATCTTCTTGATCATCGATCCTCTCAAGTCGCTGTTGCTCGCGTTCAATGAGACGTATCATTTTACGTTGTCTTCTTACCGATTTACGTATACATGTGTTATATCGTATATATACACACACACACACACACACGCGTATATATATATATACATATACATATTAGCAACGGTCAGTAAAATTCCACTCTCTTATCTAACACGAGTCTCTAAGAGTAACGTTATTGCATACGATTACCAACAAATATCGTTTCGATATGAATTATTGTTAATATATACGAGTATATATGAAAGTAAATTAGTTTTATAGCCATACTCAAAATTCTATTCGTTATCAGCCATTCCGCTATATGTGGAGTGATAATAATCGCGAATAATAATAATAATAATAATAATAATAATAATAATAATAATAACAATATCGCAAAAATCCTGTCTAGGATTATAAAAGATTACGATAGATTACGGTAGATCGATAGGGCAAATCGATCGAACGATCGATCGATATTAATTAAATTCCTTCAAATTGGTAAGGAACACATTTGCTAAGGGGCGTTTCTTGTATAACATTGGAAAGATAAAAAGATAAGAGAAGAGAAGAGTATCTGCTGAAGTAGACGATGGAAAAATTCCATAGACCCTAAACTCGGTCGAATCTTTCATTTGTCCCCTTTTTGATTTATTTCTCAATGAGAGAAAAAGAGAAAGAGATAACTTTCCATGCGCTACACTGGCGCTTCGTCTATTAATCCTCAGCAATCGAGGGTTGACATTCTTATTGACCCCCACCGGGGGGGATTCACACACACACACACACACAACAAAATACCATCACCAGCAGTACCAGCAGACGTGCCTCCAAGAGTCGAGGAAACGATTGGGCCAATTAACATCGTTGTTATCCTTTTTATTGTTGCCATTGTTGTGTTGTGTTGTGTCGTTGTTAAAACAGTACACCCCATAGTACATATCGATTTATGATCTCCATTATTCTTTTCCAATTTTTTTTTATTTTTTTCCTTCGTCGAATAGTAATCATGTATCGGTATTATACATTTCTTACAATTTCATTTCTTCCTAGAAATATTATCAAACTTGTAAGCTTATCTTTTTTTTTATCTGACCATTATAATTAATCCAAATTTTCCTTATAAAGTGTATGTTGCCTAAAGATTTTTTTTCTTTTTTTCTGATTTCTCATTTCTCTGGAACAATTGAACACATTTTACGGGGAAGTACCTAAATAATATAGCAATAATTAATAAAATCATCCACAAGACAATATGTGTACAATATGTGATAATTGTTTAGATCGAATAATAATTATTATTTTTCTTTTGTTTTATAAGTTTACAACATTTAAAGTTATTAAAAATAAATATCGACGTTTTACCATGAAACCAATTTTCTTGCAATTTTTTCTTCGATGTATTAAATGGACAAACACGTATTACATAACACGTAGTGGGTAGTATAGTATTAATCGATGTGTTAGTACATTAAACACATTTTCAGATCATTCATGCGTGTAAAACGTCAAATGTTTAACGATGTAAAATCTAAAACGTCAAATGTAAAACGAATCCCATCCATACGTGGAGATATGTATCTCATAATCGTTAACGCGTTAACAGAAATAGAACAGTTGCAAGAAGATATTACTGCAGCCAAGTAAATTATTATTTCTCGATTGAACGAGTTTTGAATGATGGCTCATGTTTTGAATGATATATCCAATGGCTCGAAAAAGATGATGCGCGTATATCATTCGAGAGTGAAGCAATCATTAATGAGTGAAAAAAATCATTCATTAATTTGTTCATTAATTAAATTGGCTAGAATTTACGTGTGTTAGCATAATAGATGCATTAATCATCTTGACATTCGAACGTTCGAGAATGAAGAAGCTTGGGGATGGGGGTGGAGAGTTTTAGTTCGATGGGTTAATCTGTCGGGACTACAGTATATTGATGATACACATATTGTACACATTGTATATGTACCCTTATGTTGCGCCGAGAGTTAGCCTTTTAATTGTAGGTTCATCCGATGATATCTAATTTTTTATTTTGCATACGTAACAAATTACTTAACTTAACGGGACTCCGATTGATTGGCTTTAATCAGATTCGATATAGATTTAAGGACGTTAAAGGAATCAAAGGGCACGTCGTCAATGAGATACGTATTATCTAGAAACTAATCAATATATACACGTTTATTACACACGTTTATTATACACGTTTATTACAGTGTATCATAATATGTTGCATTCTTTTTAGTTATATGGTTTGGCGTAATCATTAGGACGGCGTCAGTACTTATTCACATTAGAGCTACTTTAGAACAACACTTAAGCATTTAAGCACAATGCACGGACAAATGGTCATTATTCAATGCGTTGTTCCTTGATATGTCTCTGACACGCATAGTCATTTGCTTTATAAACTCCAAGAAGAATCGTATCTCCGACATGACGTGTAATCCTACGTGATTTTCGGCTTTGGCTTTGGCTTTCGGTTCATCGATACAAACCCATGACTACTATTTTATTTAAAGATAAATCAAAATCGTCGATAATAAATAAATAATATACCTGCTGCTATCACACTCTCTACATAGTGTAAACATACATAGTGTAATATGTGTCGATCTAATGTTTATCTTCTAGGATTATGACGCGTTAACCGTCGTTTAAATACATGCATATTGCAAAAGATTGACTGTTTATAAATGAGCTTTAGTGTTTTGGTTTTGCTCGTTAAGTAAAAACAATTCGTTGTTTATTAAATACATTTGTTTCTAACTTATTATTCATAAGATGAAAAATGTCTACAAAAATGATCATTACATTTCTACATATTTTTGATATAATACAAGGACATATCTACCCATGTATCATTGAAATTATATCATTTCTATTAATCATAATAAGTCATATCACGTAATATTCTACGTAAGTTTCAAATACGTTAACATTAATGAATCAAGACTAAAAATTACTTTTATGATAAGAATTATCGTTACCATTTCATCAAACTTTACATTGATCATTTTAAGAATTAAAAAAAGGCGGCAAATTTAAAAGAATACTACAAAAAATAATTTTTCGTTGACTGATTAATCGTTTAATAATTTATCATAATATCTGATTATCTTTTCGCTAGTGTTTTAATTTGATTATATATGCATTTACGTACTTTATACTTATTTACTTGAGCTGAGACTTTAAACGTTAGTTATGTCTCACAGCATAATCATATGATAATTACGGAGGTTGTGATGGAAAAATACTATAAACGAAGTCAACCGTTCGTTTAACATTCAAACTTGATATGTGTATACGTGTAGGTATTTTTACGCACACACATAAGTAACGCTATACCTTTCTGCGACATTTTGCATATGCGACAATAATGCAGAACCGGTAACGATAAAAGAGAGAGAGTGAGAGAGAAGAGGAGGAGGAATTTCGTTTTTCCTTTTTTTTTTAAATTACGATTAGAAAATGTAAGAATTATGTAATTTGTAAAAAAAATTCAGTAATTCGTTATTTTGGAATGTTGTAAAAAAGAAAGAAAAACTCATGACCATTAAGTTCTAACAAAACGATGTTCTCTTTTTCCTACTCATAATCATTTGCATAGTACACAACAAACGTTGTTATCAGTGCTTTTAAGAACCAGAGTCCTGTGTACCAGGAACCAGAGTCTTTTATCATAATCGGATGTAGGTAATAATTAACATAGATAAATTTCACCCAAATCTTTTCCTTCCAACATATATGAATATATGAAATTCTATGAAATTATGCGTAATTATGCGTAATTATGCGTACAATTTATATTGAAATAATTTAACAACGTTAGAGTTCTTCTTATGGACTTGACAAACGTTAAACATATTTTTTCTTCTTTTTTTTTTTTTTTCTTCTCATTGACATATAATACATATGTATGTTTGTATAAAATGACAATCGATGATGATGCATTGGAATGTTTCTCGTAATATTATCATCTATATTATTATTGCGTAGAAAAGAAAGTAATTAACCTTGAACGATGAAAAATATTAAAAATTGATAAACAAAATGAAGCGAAGAAAATAATATTTAAATGAGAAAAATAAAAAATATGATGCAACCTTTTTTTTGACCGTTGCATGTACATAATTATAATATATTATAATATAGTAGTTTAAGATTTTGTTTACATCAATTTATGAATCTTCAATGCGCAATTGAACGATAAAAAAGAGATGTTTTTTTTTTCTACAGTTATATTAATCCAATGAAAAAGACTCAACGTGTGGTAATCGGTATGTAAGAAGATGCGATTATATTGTAAATTTGATATGACCTAACGACTACCATGAAATGATATGCTATTGCAAGGGTGCTTTGAATATATCAAAATGTATCACATGTATTTTTGAAAAAATTATATATATATATATATTGTTATTATGTGACTTCAACTTAGTAAGAAATTTGTCAAATGTAATATATAGATATGTATATAAATAAATGTTGTATAAACATATCAAGTATAAAATTGAAGTGAACTTTTTGCGTCAGAGTTAATCTTATCGAGGTATATATCTCTGGTTAAAAAATATTTAGCGTCAAGTTTGAACGTCATGAGTAAAGTATTCCTTCCCAAAATGAACACAAAGTCGTCTACATAGATGTATTTTTATTTTTGAACAACGTAGTACTACATATATATCCTTCAAAAGAAATTTCGTAATCATGGATTCCTTTAAAACCTCGTCACATGATATTTTATGTTATAATAATTATTAAACATACACACGTGTCACGATATAATTTGTTCATTAATGAGATATCATGAATTCAAATAAAACAGCTCTTTCAATAGCCATTCGACTATGCTTTTTTATATATTCGATATTGACATTATCGAGAAATCATGGAAAAAATTTAGACGAATACAAAATTTCATTGAAATGCAGAGAATGCAAGCTCGACAAAAGATTCGAGTACCCTTTGAAGGGATTATAGGTGATTCAGTATGCGTGAGCTTGTGTATACGACACGGAAAGGTGCACTTACTAACACACACACATACACACACATACACCAAGGTTCGATGGGGAAGGCAAGTTTGTAGTGGAGAAAGATACGGAAGAAAGAAGAAGCGGTAATAAGACTTCCAGGAGAAAGAGAAATGCCAAGAGGCGGCGTACGTGCGAATAGGCGTGTGTGCAGAAATTCTCTATGTGTATGTATGTTTGTGTGTTAGAGAGAAAAAGAAAAATGAAGAAAAAGGATGGAGAAAGAGAAAGACAAGTCTGACGACTGTATACGGACGAGTGTGTTGCCGAACGAGGTCGAACGACTCGAACCTTCTATGGGAGATCCGAGGAATTGCTGCTACACTATCGTCACACCGTTCAAATGCTTTGATTTGCTTGTCTCTTCTCATAATCGCGCGATACGCTTTTCGGCTAATATATACATATATACCTGTTCACATATTCTATAACGATTAACACGACTTTTATTCTTTTCTCTTTTTTTCTCTTTTTTTTTAATCGAGTCATTAAAACTAACTAAAATGATTGATTTCACTTTTGGAATTTTCACCCATTATTTAGATTTGTCTTTCTTTTTCATTTAACAAAGATTATTTTATTAACGTCGAATAATAAATTATATGAATTATATGAATTACATGTCGGTGTATTGTAACTTCATCAATTTTTCTTCCTTCTACATTGAGTTTTGCGATGTTAATCGATATGCCGAATGAACGGCTATATATGTATATTAAATTAATTAATTTTAAGCTTATCTTTGATGTATCGCTGGAATAATTGTCTCCGTTATCATTTCGATACAAAATCCTAAATTATCGTCGACGAAAATTTCCAATTTTGTAATTTTGTTGACTTCGATGACAGACTTTGAATTTGATAAAGTTTTCCTATTTGAGAAGTAAAAAAAAAGACAAAAAATATATGAATGAAGATAGGATGATTTATCAAGGAAAAAAAATCAAAAAAAGAAAGAACAAGACTTCATTCATTTATCCTTATTTAATGATAGAAGTTTCTAGTAAAGCTGTATATGTGTGAGAGGTAAAAAAAAAAAAGGTCTCATGTAATATATCTTTATAGATAAATAGATATAGAGTTGCATCACGATTAGATAAAGCAACCGTAGCACGCGATCATATAATACTCTTTTCTTTTTTTTCATTCGTATCTACTTCTTCCTTTTCTTGCGAGCGAAGGGCACATTTCTTTACAGTCACGTCTAGACTAGAAAATAGTCAGCCGAATACATTGAAATTCCAATAGAATGAGGAGAGGGGATGAAAGGAACATAAAGAAGGACGAGAAAAAGGGCAGGAAAAAGGGCAGGAAAAAGGACAGGAATTTGAGTATCATGCGCATACCCACGTAAAATCGTTTACCCGTTAAATACAAAATTTGTATATATAAGAAACCCGTAATATTTAACGACGAATGATCATATAAATAATAGAAATTAGTGATGTAACTTTTTTGTAAATAGTAACCGTTTGAATAATTGACAAATTTACTGGATAGAATAATTTGATCGGGGATCAAACGTTACTTATAAATGTTGCATATGTATATATGTATGTTTGCAATATTTGTAAGAAGATCTAATCGACACAAGACGACGGTTTCCAATCCACGGGTAATTGACGACGCGATTCACCGACTACGTCGGGTCGCCGTCTGGCTTGGTTCTATCCCCACTGCGCTTGGTCAGGAACGCGCCCCGAGAAAAGAAGTGGGCGGTGCTTGCGTCCGCAACGGCGTCTGTATAAAAGAGACAAACCCCCCGATCTGATTAGCAAACCTTCCAAAAAGCCACGAGTATTAACACGTGCATCTCTCTCTACGCGTATATCATTTCACCATCGATAGATACTACCTTGACCACAAGTACGACACCATATATATTCGATTAATCATAAATGCTCATTTATGAGAATTTCAATAAATACATTAATCCTAAAGACGGTGAAAAATAAAAGAAAAATTGAAGAAGAAAAGCAAGAGAACGCAGCTGCTCGCAAAAGGTGAAATATAGAGGAAGGAAGAGTGGTGGTGGTTCTAGTGGTGCTGGTGGTGGTGGTAAAAAGAGCTAGCTACCACTGTATACGAGCTACAAGGAGTCATTTAGACTTTAGACGTTCCTGAAATCGCGTTACAAGGGTTGAACGGTGCTATACCAATTAAACTTGACAACCATTTCAATATAATTAAGAAGAAAGTGGACACTTTGATAGAAAGACATCAAACAGCTGCTACCGCTACAGGGATAGTAGTTACAATAAATGATTATTTTCTGTTGTCATAACAGAGCCACGTGTGTTGAATAAAACGCGCACGCTCTGTTTTGCCAAGGTTTGGAACCAAAGAGAGAGAGAGAGAGAGAGAGAGAGGGAGAGAGAGAGAGAGAGAGGGAGAGAGAGAGAATAAAATAATCGACGGAAGTAGTTATATCCTGGGCCGACAGAGGCATCCTGACAGTTTCTGCGCACGTACTACCCCAATCCCTACTTATATTTACTTGTACGTGTAGCACCTGCTATTTGACAGGATATATATCAAGAAAAAAAGGTGTTTAACGAATATTTTCAAGAAGAAAAAGAACAAAATAGAAGACAACTATCAACGACGTTTACCGGTACTTAGGCTTGATTGTAGGCCACAACAGCGGTGCAAAAGTACCAGGCAACAGATTGATATTTGAAAAAGAAAGAACCGGCATTACAAAGCAGGACACACACGATGCCGTCTAATACGCAAAGGAGACAGATCATGCAACCATGGCCCCTGTGCCTAGTGCCCTTCGCAAAAACGAAGGTAAGCCCTACGATATGTCCTTTCTATTTTTATTTCTATTTTCATTTCTATTTTTATTTCTATTTTTTTCTTCTATTTGTTTTTTCTTTTGACATTTTTCCATTTCATTTTGTTAATCCACAATGCTTCACTTCTTATGTTCATCCCTTGCAATTATTCATTGAAAATTTCATATTTATTTGATTTATATTGTATTTTCGGTATTATATGCAACACTCCCGGCATTTGTCTCCTTTTGCTCCTTCTTCCTTTATCCTTGATCTGTTGACGGCTGGCGCTAGCGCTCCTTCTTCGTTCCTCGTTTCTCTTTTTTTTCTTTCTCTCTCTAAACCTCTGGAAAGTTCCACGATACTCGGCCACTGATACATCGACGCGACGCGACGCAACATAGACGCAACCAACGGTGGTGGTTTCATGTTCATACAGCATCCTCCAAAATGTGCATCCTTTCATTTCTATTACGAATTTATCCGTTCCTTAATTACCATTTTCTACTTTGAAAAACCTTCATGCTGGTTCTTATTCTTATCTTACTTTCATTGGTTTCGCCTTTTTTTTGTTTTTTAACAAACAAACAATATTAGAAGTCTAATATTACCTTTTTGTAATTACATGATAATAGTGTAGTGTCATATACGAGTTATCTTTATCCACGACTTTTCGTATTATCGTCGATAAGAACGTCGAAGAAATATGATTAAAAACTCAAACGCAATGACTCGTTGATATGTTTCCTCTCTCTCTACGTTTTCTATCGTACGGCTAATTTATCGTAAATTCTATTTTTACGAATACATCAAAGAAACACGCGATTCTGAAACGAATTAAGCCGAACTATCCCGAGCGTTTGTTATACAACCCGTGACGCACATTCTACTAACTAAATTTCATTTTTACCTTTCACGAAGAATTTATTTTCTTTTTTTTTTCTCTCTCTCTTTTGTTTATCACTTGTTAAAATTCGCGATACGGCATGTTTGATATTATGCATTCTCGTGTATTTTATCTGTATTTTGGACGTGTATTTTGGACGTGTATTTTGTTCTTCCTATTTTTTTATTCATTCCCGTTATTTTTCAATAACTCTCTCAAGCTTATTTCACACAGAGCATATATATTATAGGAATAGATAAATACGCGATGTTTGACTACGTATGCGCATGAGAAATATCGATTATTTTCGATAGATATAAATTATGCGCATGCGCGCACTAGAACGAAAAGCCCGCTCTATTTGTTCTCGCGCCGACAAAGACCTTCCAACTTCTATCTCTTTCCCTCTTTTTTCATTTTTTTTTCCACTTTTTCTCCTTCCAATGACCTCTAGCGGCATTTTCAAAACTAACAAGAGCGCGTTAAAACCCCGCGAAAATTTGACCACGTAGAAATGTTGTTCTTCCGTTTTCTTATCGTTTTCTTATCGTTTTCTTATCTTTCTCTTCTTTTCTTCCTTCTATTTCTTCTTATAATATACTCGTATTTGTAATTATCATATTTTCTAGTTACGTTGACTTAACACAAAATTCGTTTCGTTTGTATATACAATTTTTCCAAGATCGTAATAATCTTTCTTTGATTAGCAGGTGGTTTAGCAGGTGTATGGGAAAAAGAAGATAATATTGTATGAAATTTGTTCGAAAAAAAAAAAAGAAAAGAAAAGAAATTCATCGAATCAGTTCCGTACTTTGTTGTCTTTTGATCCTGTATTTTGTCGATTTTTCTATTGTTGTTGAAAAAACAAACTTCTTTTTTGATAGTTCAATTAATTCGGCTTACATGTATAACTACGATTTATAGAAAATGTAAGAAATATTATAATCTTAATTTAAAAAGAACAAAAATATCAAATGTTTACAGGTGAATTACAGCAAACGTCCTTTAATCGTAAATGTGTCAATAATTCAATTTCGAAGTTTGAATAATCCTTACAGGAGACTGTCTGCGGCAGACTCGTCGTCGTTCGCAAAATCATTATGTTTCATTATTTTTTCATTTTGTTTTCCTTTAAAAAAAAAAAAAGAAAAAAAAATAAGTCAACACATACATACATGTAACACAAAAGAAAAATGCAATAAACATTGTTGTGTGACTGTTATCCATTAGCTTTATCGATATATCTTCTTCGGACCTATTTCCACTTATTTTATGTCTACTACTATTTTTATTTAATTTTTCTCTAACAACGGTAGGTAGTTGACAAAAAAAAAAAAAAAAAAAAAACCAGAATGAAATTGACGAATTCGAAAGCACCAATCATTATCATCATCTATCGCATTAATATTTTCATTAATTATAAATCTATGTGCTTTCTTTTAATCTGTTCAAAGTGATCGTTTTTTCAAGCTTCATACGCTTATTTTTGTATTTATGTACCTTATATCGATTTACGATTAGCATATCTTGATAGATCACGTTATTGTCAAATCGTTTTTCTTATCTCTTATAATGTATATTTCCTTATCACGTATTACAAGAAAATTCATTAACGAAGATATTTTGTTCTTCTTATTGTTAGATTAAATCACAAGTACACTGTGATTGTGTTATCATTATAGATCATTGCAATGTCGCATTGTGTTTTAAAAGCTGGTTGCATGCATTCACGCGCTTGTACGATGGGTTGCCTAGCGTTAAGGCGGGGAAAATGGACATATTAATCGTTCATATTTTACTTTGAACGTTTTCAAAATTCAGAATTAAGCACAAACATTTCTAGCTAGATCTGCACTATACCGGTTTGGAAAGAAAAGAAAAATAGGGGGAACAGGGAAAAGAACAGAAAAGCGATGTACAATAGGTTAAGAAGTTATCTGATCTTTTTTTCTTTTTCTTTTTCCTTTTAAACACGTTGTTTCCCCGAGAATGAAACTTATCGTTGAATACATACACTCTTAGACGAGTTATTATGCTTCTTCAACATAATAAATCAAAGACCGGTGGTGCATTGGTAGACATATTGTTCGTTTCGTTAAAGATTGAGTATACAAACAAAACGGGTATTAAGTCTTTTTGTTCGATGATTAGTCAACTAACGAGGGATCATAAATGGCTGCAATTTTCGATATTCCAAATACATAGAGTAAGAAGAGAACAGGAGACTAGTAGCGTTTGTAGATATTCGACTTGTGTGAAATTTTCAAACGCAATCTTTATCAGTTAGATCGCGACAACTGTTAGACACAGATAGGATTTTTCGTCTATATCCTGAAAATCATTTCAATCATCTTAACGACAAATAACGACAATATTAGAATAATTAGAAAAAAGAAAAAACAATTATACTCTCTCGAAGATGAAGTCAGTGCAACCAACTCATGACTACGTTGTTGACTGTCATGGACGCAGCGCTAAAATGCTTCAAGGGCCACAAGCATCTACGTCGCTGGTACGTCACTAATGTTGCTCTAATGTCTAAATCAAATTTAGCCCGCTTCTTAAACGCATACTGATCATTCGACTAGTTCATTGTTCTGCTGTCATAATAATATCAATAATAATATAAAAAAGGCAACATTTCATTTATCGTTGAAAACATTCAAAAGATCAAACTTATTTATCAAGAAAATTCCTCTCTTTCTCTATCTATGATCAAAATATAACTATTGTAGAACCATTTTAGAACCATTTTAGAACCATTTTAGAACAATCGTAGTCTTGTCGTGCTTTTCCTTTTTTCAAATGATTTAGCTCGATGGAACCTTGGCTTGTTAAGAAAAAACCAATTATATCATCATCATCATCATCATCGTCGTCGTCATCGTCATCTATCGTCACTTGCCTTGCTACGAAACAACACGCGAGATGTCGTGTCAACAATTTTTTGTTACATTCATTACAAATTCCTGACAAATTCCGTTTCTACGGAAGGGAAGAAAAAAGACAAAATTGCACTCGGAGTATGTCGAGTTTGATAATAAGCTTGCATGCTTACAAAATTCAAACTAATTAGAATGAAATCGCTAAATTACAAATTGTATGCATCGATAGTAGTTCGTCGTATTCCTGCATGCCAATAATTTTCTTTCTCTTTTTTTTTATTTTTTTTTTATTTAAGGGGGTATTCTGGTCTAGAAATTTGACAAAATCGATTTTTTTTTTTTATATTTTCAAAGTTTAACCTTTTAAGAATGTGTCCTCAAGAGGATTTTTCAAAATTCAATTTATTTTCGGAGATATAGCTGTTTTAGTGACGCGGCATTCTATATCCAACCCTTATTACACGAAACTTTGAACGCGTTTTTCTCGAAACTGTTTTCTTTTTTCACAAATGTCAAGATATCTCAAGTTCTACTAAACCGATTTGCTTGAAATTTGGTGACAGTCTTCTCTATGCATTACTCTATCGTGCAAATTAAAATCTTACAAAATTTTCAATTTTTACTATTTTTAAAAAATTTGGAAAAGTAAAAAAAGTGGTAAAAATAATGTATTTTTTTTTCAAACAACTGTAATTTAGCCAAAAAAAACAAACTTTTTTCAATTCTTTTAGTTCGAACGATAGCGGCACTATTCTAAATTAATAATCCGTTTTAATTTTTTATTTCGAATTATCAGAAGAGCTGCAATCTTGATATTTGTCGCCCGCTGTTTATTTGGGACCCCCCACTTCATCAGCCTATATCTTTTTCAAAATTGAATTTTTTCACTATTTTTTTTTTTCGTGTATTCTCGAAATATTAATGAATATCTTGTAACATTATAGATAGTAAAAATATTATTTGTCTTTTTGTTATTACACTTGAAAAAGTACCTAAAATTCATGCCTCTAGATCAGAATACCCCCTTAAGAATATTACCACAGTAGCACGTTTAAAATTAATTCATATTTGATAATCTCAATCCGTCTACATTTTTTAATAACACTTGTATGTACATAATTGTAACATACGTAAATACATATGTGTTGATATATACGTCGCGAATTATAATTGGACGTTTTATTTCTATCAACCATTTGCTCAAATTTGTTTCAGATATTTTCGATATTCTGATTCTATATTTAGAAATATAAGTAAATATAAATTAATTAAAGTTTAAACACGCACGTAAATCAAACATAAATCAAATATAAATCATTTCAATGTAACGTCATTTCTTGTCAAAAGTTCTTTATCCAAATAAATTGAAATACTTTTCAACTCTGTAGAATTGAATTATTCTTTTCGGGTGTTTCGAATTATATAAATATTTCTAAAAGTTTATATTAAATTAGTAAGATTATACTCTTAGGCTTAAAAATAAATGAGAGAAATAAAAAAAAAATATGCTGAATGAACGATTTATCTATGAACATAGATAAAACCTTCAGCTTTTGATAAAACAAAGATATCAAATTTAGAAAGAGATAGAGATAGAGAGAGAGAGAGAGAGAGGGAAATATCATATTAGCATAAAGTATCATGCCACCACGTAGCACGTGGTTATGTGCGTGGTAATGTGCTTGGTTAACGCGTGCCAAAGAACATGAAACATGAAGAGTTAAAACCGTTACAAGATCGTTTTCAGGGGCTTACAGTCGTCTGCTGCCTTTTCATTTGTATAATGAACACTCAGAAAAGATCTATCATAAATCTAATGACAAAGATAGGAAAACTATGAATCTTGTTTATTTCTTTAACGTAAAACTCCAATTATAGACTATTCTATAATGAATCGTTAATGGACTAAGAACAGGGTAGCTGGTTATCTGATTTATTACAACACTTTTCTGCGTGATTCTCACTACAGTGTAATATAATTAATTACTTGTTTTTTCTCCTTTTTTCTCTTTTTTCTCTTTTTTCTCTTTTTTCTTACATAATAACGGACGTTATTGTTCGTTAAGAAATATTTAAATAAATATATATATCAATTATATATCGCGACATGAAAGTAGTTGTATTATTTACAGATTTTATAACCAAGATAAGCACAGATATTACCTTGACTCTTTAACTTGTCTAACAAGTTTGGTATTTATTTAGAAAGTCTCCTATGAAATATAGTATTATAAATACATTAATACTATTAATGCTAGTATATTTTCCCCCATTCAAACATTACTTTGTCATAAGACATTAATATATATATAATTGCATTTATAAGAAAAAATTGGTCATTTTTTTTGCAAATTCCTACTACTGTAGAATAAAAATAAAGACAACGCAAACACATGAAGGTTTTGATATTAATAATAACTGGTATAGATCTGACGCAATATTTGTCAATGTTTAGTTTGAAATGACGATGTAATAAGTAATCAATTATCCATTGATTATCACCCCATTAATTCGACCTTCGAACGAAAATTTGGATGCATTCTACGATAAAAGACGTAATTTATCCAAAAATTTAATATTTATCGCGTCTACTGTTTCAATCAATTTCTAGACAGACAGACACATAATTAATATGCAAAAATGAAACGACGACGCTATTTAGATAACACTACTACTACTACCATCACCATCATCACCATTGACATCAAAGATTGATATAGCTATTATTACTGAAAAGAGCAATCAAGGTGGTAGCTCAAGCTTCACGACAAATGATCAAACATAAGAAATCGTCTCTCCTTCTTTAATTAGTTACATCGTACTTACGCGTGTACGATAATCAACAAAATATGAATAAACATAAGATCGATGAGTATATTTTTACGTGATATATTATCGGAACGATTAATTTCTTTTTGTACATTCACATTTTCGAATCACTGCGTGGTATAAAGACGCGTCTTTATACTTTTTCAATATATTATTTTATGAATATTAAGATGGCAAATAAAAATGTATTTCGAATCATTGCGCACAGATGTTTACATGTATGTAGTTTTTCTTTTTATCTGCTATGCGAATGTTTCAAAATGTAAACACCAAATAAAAAAGACACTTCATTTGAAATAATTCTATAAAATCATTTAATGAACTATTCGTTAGACAATTATATGATTGAATCTTTATATTATCATTTCAAATGCAACCGTGAATCATTGAATAAATATTTCCAATGGATAGAAATATTTTTATCTCATTTGTCGCTTTCAATTAATTTTGAAGCAGTAGGAAAAGCGAGAACAAAAAATTATATAAATTTCACGACGATAAAATAGCGTTTAATGATGTCAATTATTATTACAAATGATAATTATAATAAATAATTTATGCGACATAGTTTTGAAATAAACGATTAGGTTTATATAAGAAAGATTATTTTTTCCTTTTTTTGTCTTTTTCTTTCTTCGTCTATGCAATAGACGTTTATTTGATCATAAACGTTCTATAAATATATCATACAAGAATGAAATTATCATCTTTCCAAAATAAAAGAAGAAAAAAAAGACTCGTTATTGTCGTAATACATAGTATATTTGATAGCTTCGAATGAGTAAAAAATGGGCCGATATAAAAGAGCAGCCATATTGACATCTATATCTTATTACTTTCAAGAAATCTACCAAGAAATAAACACAATTATGGCAATGTGTTATCCACGTGATCACTTTGCTCCTCTCAGCGTGATTAAGTCTCTGTAACCTAATTTCTTTTTTTTTTTTCATTTTTTTCTTTTTTTCTTTTTTTCTTTTTTTCTTTTTTTCTTTTTTTTTTCTTTGGGGGTAACGGATAAAAAGATTTTTTTCACAAATTTTGTTATATTCAAATGTTATTTGAAAATATCACTTATTGTTAGTTTTCTTTTCAAGTTTATTCTTCAAAGTTTAAGGGAATATTAAAAGGGTGAAGAAGAATTTTCATAAATTAATTTTCATAAATTAATAGCCCATATAGACCGTTTCGTATAAGAAACCGAAAATACGAGAACAAACAATTTGCGAAAGTATAAGATTCAAAGTTTAGGTACAAAGTTCATTGAAAGGTTATCAATAGCCGGGCTAAAAGTCATCTAATATCAAAAAGTAAGCATTTATTCTTTGCTTATTTGCTTTCGTCATTGCTTGTTAGTAGTTGATAGTGGACATGAATCTTTGCCCCCCACTTTGTTTTTATTTATTTTTCTTTCTTTTTCTATTTCATTTTGTATCTTTTTTCCCTCCTTTACAATAGAATTCTTGATAAAGCTGTAGTATATAAATACCGAAACATTGACCATCCAACCCCTCAGTGTAAGTCATTCTTTCTTCAAAGTTCCCTCGTCGTGTAATAAAAACGAATATCTAACGATTTAATACAAAATTCATTAGTACAAAAACAGTGAACCATTAAAAGAGAAAAAAAGGTTTTATTGAAAAGTGTTTTGAAATCTCTCGTTAGAAAGGTACACAAAGGTAAATACTTCATCATATGATTCCTTATTGTTAAATTATTGTCAAGTATTATGTTTAGATTTTAGTGCAAAAGTTGTTAATCATTCAAAAAGACAAAAAATACAAAGAAAAATCTTTTAAACAATCTTCTATTTAGGGTAGTGTCGTAAAAGAAGTGTATATAAAAGAAGGGCATGTTTTCATTGATTGTCACGTTGTCATTAGACATTATTATTATTATTATTTTTTTTTTTTTTATATATATATAAATCTGTTTACATCATATAAACTTTTAATCGTGAGAGTTTATCACAAAATGAAGGAAAGAGTCCAAGTCCAGTAGCGTCCAGTTCGATCAATTTCTTCTAGTTCTTTCCAGCTTCAACTACATCGATAGTTCAAAATAATAATAATTCTTTCATTCAGAATAATTGACACACCTACAATTCTAGTAATCCTTGTAGATACTTTGGTTGTAAGGACAATAGTCCGCAAAAAGATCTATGGAAAGATCATTCGCATTTTAATCATTTTAATATTAATATAAAATTGTACTTTGATATATTTCAGGAGCGAAGTGTTTTACCAAATTATTATACGAGAGTCCCGTCTATCGCAAGATCTTCAACAACAAGTTCAGGGATAACATTAGATTGTGCTTCGAACGCAACCCTCGCAACAAACGCAAGCCCTTTCAACAGCCAAACAGCCCTTCTTGTGGAGAAGAAAAAATCGCCGTCGTCGCCGAGCGGTAGCAACAGCGTATCGAGCAATCATTATTACGTTGAAAATCTAAGAAACAATCATCAACTTTTTAACAATCAACAATCGCAAAAAAGTCTTACTGGTTCAAGGATTTATGATCCTTTAGACAAGGGTCTCGACGTTGATTACAAACAATTAGATCCGTTGATAGCCAAAGATCTTCACCAGCCTAAGATAGGAGGACTAATGAATATCAATCAGGAAGAGAAGGATAAAGATGCGACGACACAGGAAGTCGAACGTTTACCCCCGTCACAATTTCAAAAGGATCAAGATTTATCACCGAAACGATTTATCAGACAGGTAAGATTTCCTTATTATAAAAACTAATTAATTGTAATATCAAGTAAATAAATATCTATATATACTGATCATTTATCATGCAAAAAAATACTGACCAAATGAATAGAACTGTTAACTCTTTGCGGCATAGAATTTCAAATAATAAAATAGCCCTATGTTTCATAGAAATTTGATTACGTTTTAAATGAAACTAAATTGGTATATTTTTTATTAATAAAGATATTACATAATGTAAAAACATAGCATGTGTGTAGCTATTGCAATAATATTTCGAGGTGGGACTAAAAATGTCCCACCGTGCATTACGGTGTATCAAAAAGGCGGGACACTTTTAATTCCACCGTGCCCCAAAGAGTTAATGTTGTTTCAATTTTTCATTATTCTAATAATGTGATGTTCTTTTTTCTTTTGTTTTTAAATATTTTTTTATCATGAAAAAAAGAAATAATAATATTTATGATTAGTCATACTATTACTTCGATTAGCTAATGTTCCTTCAGATGATAACAAACGTGTAAGTTTAACCTCGTCTAAAAAAAAAAAAAATAATAAAATTATCAAAAGGATGAATAAAATTGAACGTTTTCTTTAAAAAGGAAAAAATAAATAAAAGCCCCTAATAATATATTTACTTGATATTACTTAAGAATTTGTTCGTTATAAAGTGAATAAAAAGTGAAAAAAATCAAACTATTAAGTTTTATAATAGGATTTTATTTAATGAAGATAAAGCTTTCTCGTTAGAAGAAACTTTCGCATAAAGTATCTTTTTATGTATATCATATTTTTACCATATACACGAATTTCAATTTTGAGAAATATTATAAATTCATTTTTTGTTGTTGTTAAAGATATAACGATATATAACTAAGGAGAAAATACGTGTGTATTTAAAATTAAAATATTGATAACGGTTTACTGATTAATGTACTATTAACCTTTCTGCGCCGGTGCACTTATGAATTAATGTCTTTGGTGCTGACGTATATTAAACGCTTATGAATTATGATGCTTGATATGATATTCGTATTTGATCGTCAATATTTCGATGACGTATATGTATACATGTGTTCTTCGTATCTCGTTGCGAGATGAGTGGCTCTCTCTCTCTCTCTCTCTCTCTCTCTCTCTCTCTCTCTCTCAAACAGTATTGAACAAAATTATTTCTAATTATTAAAGCTATGTAATCTCTTAAAGATTTATGATATACACAAATTTTAAACTCTCAATAAGTAAATAAAACAAAACGTACTTTTTTAAGATTTAGACAAACATTGTAAGCCATACGATATTTTTCTTCAGCGCTGTTCGAAGTAAAAATATTACAAATGTTGGCATTTTTTTCTATTAATTTTCATTCTATATATAACTGAGCAAACATAAAAAGGCAAAATTATAGAAAATTAGAAAGATACATAGATAGTTTGATAGGAATTAAATACGAAGAGGAAAATCAAATAAGATGAAGTAGTACGAACGTTAACGTGGTCCGCCAATGAATGATACATACCCGCGTATCGTTACGTCTCTAAAGAGTCAGGAATTTCCTACTTATTTCCTAATGCTTATTCGATATAAAAAAAAAAAAAAAAGAAAAGAAAATAATAAAAACATTTGCAAATTGTACCAAGAACGTAATCGTTTCCATAATTTTCGCGGCATGTTTGTTGTCTTTGAAATAATATCCCATTAATCCTTTAGCGATCTTGTACTATTCAACGTTAAAGTTTCAAGGATGGTCGCAATCCTTGATCCATTTTTTCATTTACTTATTCAACTTCTTGCATAGATAGACCGACACACGAGGTTGTTGCAAACACTAAAGTTCATAGAACAATACTTACGAACTTACGAGATAAACAATTAATAAATAAATAAACAAACTATCTTTCTTTTTTTCTTTTTCTTATCATCATTTCTTTCGTATTCTATCTAACGTATGACGGATAATAAAAGTGTGCTATTAAATAGAAAGAACGATAAAATAATTATAAAAAAAGAAGAAAAAAGAAGTGTGAACATGTTTTTAACATTCATCTATTTTAATCACTTAATTAGAATTATTCCGTTAGTGTACTTTTGCACACTTGTTATATGTCTATTCTTGTAATAACTAGATGATACAATGAAAATTTGAAAAAAAAAAAAAAAAAGAAGAAGCACTGTCTCGTCGTTCGTAATACCACCTCGTGTTGTTACCGCTGCTGACCTTGCTTCAACAATATGATGATGATAATTTTCAAGATGTCTTTTTTCAATATGCCATGCACATGTCAAATCAGTAATCGTTTCTTTTTTTACTTAAAAAATCTACAACGATTGAACGAATCAATTGATAAAAAAAAGTGATAATAAATCTTATAGATAATTTCGTGTATCGTATCGCGATTTAACAAAATCCGAATAGAAATGATTTTATTAAATAATTATGTAACAGTGATCGGTAGAAACAGGACGGACGGTATAAAAATTGAAAGCGAAAGTAATCAAATTCGAAGGAAACAACCTTATCCTTGTTTTCGAAATAATATAATCATTGAATTATTCCACGTAAAAAACTAGTTAACTTACTTATTTGCGTATATGAAAGTTAGTGGCTGTCGGTAAAATTGAATTGAAAGAATGACTACTATTACAGCTATATTGCTATAAATAAATGTCAAAAGAAGAAGAAGAAAAAAATGATGATGATCCTATACACGTTAAAGGACGATTCAAATGAAAGTGATTGTATAAATCGTGAATCGAGTTAATTTTAACAAATATATACTTATACTTACGTCTAACTTGTTAAACATCGCGAACGGAACGCGACAGACCTTGCAGTGACTTATTGTAAAAGAGAAGGGATGAGTTGCCCCCCCATGAGAGCATTTTGCCTCTATATAAACGAGGAGAACCACCCGGCGATCCATGAGTGTCAATAGCTTATATTATACCGTTGACACATAGTAGTAGTAACTTGATTTTTTTCCATCACCGACAAACTTTAACAAATTTTCATTTCGTTTCAAGTGTCTTCATTTTTAACTTTTCTTTTCTTTTCAATATTATTATTATTATTATTATTATTATTATTATTATTATTATTATTATTACTATTATTACAATTGTAAATAAGAAAATACGAGTGTAATTTTTTTACAAATCGACTTATTGTCATTTTTCGATTGAAAAACTGGAAGAGAAATTGAATAACCGTAATCATGAAAATTTTAATGCGAGCAGATACTCATATCAATATAGAAGTGCCGGGAAACAAACCAGCGCCTAAGGCATGTTTTACTCAGGTACGAGACAATAGGAAATGAATGATGATTATAATCCTCAGTTATATACACGAGAATTGTTACAAGTTACAAACTATTATGAACAATTTACTTTCTAATGTGTTTCTTGGTGTTTTGTTTGTGTCTGTGTGTGCGTGTGCGTGTGCGTGTGCGTGTGCGTGTGCGTGTGCGTGTCGATGTATAAAATAAAATACATACAATGTGTCAAATAAATATTATTTCATTTGTGTTTTTAAAGGTATTGGCAGCCTTAACACTTTCATTGGGTTCCCTCGTTGTGGGTTTTGCCTCTTCCTATACGTCGCCAGCCCTTGTTTCTATGCAAAGCAATGCAACTGATACAAACTTTGAAGTTACCAAACAAATGGTGAGTACTTTTCTTTTTACAATTATCAACAATCTATCTCAATACGTACGTATTATAATATATACATTGAACGATCATTTAATTATTCTTTTATATCACTTGATATAAAAAAGAAAAACATTTCTAAACGTACGTGCTGCGATAAAGACTTTTTTAATAACATATATTTCTTTGAAATGTAACTTGCATTAAGCATTATCCTACTTTCGTAAACGTCCAACACTCCAAGGTTGTCGAATAGCATTCGTACCACTGGCACGAATGTTTTAGTGTATTTCCCTGATTACAACATTTTTTTTTTTTTTTAACGATAATATACTAATAATGGATCTTGGAAAATAACTTGAACGAAAATCTGAAATTAATATGACTATAAATATATGATAATAAATTGAAAAAGAAAAAAAAGAAAAAAAAGAAAAAAGAAAAAATTAATGTAATTAAATTCGTAAATTTTCTCTTAATAAAATGAAAACTATACTATTTGCTAATTTGTTTAAGTGTTGTAAGCAACACTTGCGTTTACTGATACGGAATTGATCGATTTATACCTAAGCAATCTATTTGAAAGGAAACGCGTGTGGTGCAATCGGGAATCATTCTAAATTCGATACTGACGAATTACGATTACGAGCAATATATATCATCGATTATATTGGATTGACTGATTTATAATAAATAATACATTATCAAAGTATTTTGTTGGAGATATTACTTATTAGCAATATTACTTATTGGTCAACTCAATATATAGACGAATGATTTGTTACGCTTGGAGAACCTTATAGACAACTCCAAAAGGTATAATACGTATAATCTTCAATATTAGAAAGGTCAATAGATGATTAAAAATTTAACCTTAAGTGCGTCATTGGTGCGTGGTCAGGGGCGCGATGGCCTGATTACAATTCGATTGGTCGAACGAATGTTGAACCTTACTGATGTCCAACCGGATTGGTCAAATCGATGGACACGCCAAAGTCAATGATGATGACTATTTGCAATGAACAATGACACCGCGAGTTAACATTACAAATTGTATTTTGCGTATTCATTTGAACAATAAGAATTTGTTATAATAAATAATATCGAAATATCCAAATTTGCTTCAAAATCGTCGTGTGTTTCCTTTTTTAATTAAAAAAAAAAAAAAAAAGAAAAATAAAAAAAGAATTCAATTAAGAATGGCAATGACTCGTAATAAATAATTTCAAGGGATTGCTTCCTTGACCCCTCTTCTTCTTTCGGCTTCATTTAAATTCGAAGGACGATATAATGATTGAATCCTATACTCTTGGTCATCTCACGTGCGTACGTGACTATTTTATTTACATCGCACGAAAACAAATCTAACGCACAAACCATGACAAATACCATGACAAATACCATGACAAATACCATGACAAATATTTTGTCATTATCAAAAACGAATATAACTAATCAATATTTATTATTGATATTTTACAGGGTATGTGGATTGGATCGATCATGCCTCTGAGTGCACTTATCGGAGGTATAGCCGGTGGTCCATTCATTGAATATTTAGGAAGAAGAAATACTATTCTTGGAACTGCCGTGCCGTTCATCGTAGGTAATACAATATTTCCAATTGATTTTCTCTACTTTTTTTCTATTCTAAACCCGGAAATAATATATTATATTTATATTATTTTGACGAATTCATTTTCTCTGAAACAAGATGTTTAAAAAGAACAAACATTCGTCACATATATTATACGAGCACATATTTATATCAGCACACTGTCGCGGATAATTAAATCATTTCGTTCGATTTACGATTACAAAACATAGTCATTGTCGTATTACTTTTTTAATAATCTAGTTTACTTGATGAAATATTTCAATGAAAACTTAATTAGTTATTTATCTATAAACTCCGTGATAAAAACCTTGATACCTTCTCACGATTTGTCCCTTTTTATGCTCTTTATACTTAGGATTATTTGAAAAATGTGGCACTTTGATAAAACAAACATCGTATCGTGTAAAATTTGAAATAATGTAATTAATGTAAAGATTTGTTTTTCTTTCTAACTGTATCCATGTACAATAATGTAAATTGTATTTGTAAATGCGTTACGTCAATTATCGCGACATTTGTCACGTAATAACAACATTCAGTTTATTTCCACACTAAATATATTCAAGCATAATTAATATTCTATTTTCCTTTTTCTTTTTCTTTTGTCAGCTTGGGTTCTCATCGGTTTAGCTCAAAATATTCCTATGATACTTGCCGGACGTGCTATTTGCGGTTTTTGCGTAGGAATAACTACCCTATCACTTCCAGTTTATCTGGGTGAAACGATACAACCTGAAGTTCGTGGATCGTTAGGTTTATTGCCTACGGTCTTTGGTAACACCGGTAAGTTATTAACATTATCATGTTTTTTTTCTTCTGATTTCATTTTTTAATTGCAAAACTTATTTATTGGAATTGTTCTTTTAGGTATTCTAACGTGTTTCATAGCTGGCATGTATTTAAATTGGAGATATCTTGCGTTGCTCGGTAGTATTTTTCCAATACCATTCCTCATATTGATGTTTTTAATTCCCGAAACTCCAAGGTGGTACATCTCAAAGGGTAAAGCAAAACGCGCACGTAAATCTCTCCAATGGTTACGCGGTAAAGATGTTGATATTACCGAAGAATTGACAATGATCGAAGAATTACATGTAGAAAGCGAGAAAGATATGCAAAATGGATTATCAGAATTACTTAAACCGAGCCACATCAAACCCATTTTGATTTCATTGGGTCTGATGTTTTTCCAACAGATGTCTGGTATCAACGCTGTTATCTTTTACACCGTTCAAATCTTCAAGGTTCGTATCTAAATCGATCATATGTCCCTAGTATTATTATATTACTTGTTTTTTTTTACTAACAACTAATTTTCTTCTTTATTTCCGTTTTTTTTTTTTTCTATACACAGGATGCCGGTAGCACAGTCGATGAAAATATCTCGACCATAATCGTTGGTATCGTCAACTTTTTATCAACTTTCATCGCTGCAGTGGTGATCGATAAACTTGGCAGAAAAATGCTTCTATATGCAAGTGGGATATCTATGTTCATAACACTTTTCACTCTTGGTTGCTACTTCTACGTCAAAATAAGTGACATTGACGTATCCAATTTCGGATGGATACCATTGCTGAGCATGATCATTTACGTGATCGGTTTCTCATTAGGATTTGGTCCAATCCCATGGTTAATGATGGGTGAAATTCTACCAGCAAGAATTCGTGGTACAGCAGCTAGTATCGCCACGGCCTTCAATTGGACGTGTACATTCGTAGTTACGAAAACTTATGAAGACTTCAAAGAATTAACCGGCGCACACGGAACATTCTGGTTCTTTGGTATCATTTGTGCGCTCGGTGTTATTTTCGTTTATATATGGGTACCAGAAACACGTGGTAGGTCGCTCGAAGAAATTGAAAAGAGATTCGCAGGACCAGTAAGAAGAATGAGCGCTGTAGCTAACTTGAAACCAACCCCAATGGGTGTCTAATTTTTTTTTTTTTTTTTTAACTTTCTTATTCCTTTTATATTATCTATTATTATTATTATTATTATTCCTTTTTTTTAATGATGATCAATTTAGAATGAATATGCTATTGACAAACAACTATCGCGCAATAGCGATCAAAGCTTAAGCATGAGGTAAATGATCTTAGAATGATTCTTCTTGAGATGAAGCGTGATTGCTCTCTCTTTCTCCTTTTATATTTTCTCTTTTTCTATTTTTTCTCTCTCTTTCTCTCTCTCTCTCTCTCTATCTATCTATCTGTATGCATCTCCTCGCATTTTTATTTTTCTTGTAATTCTTCTGATAATTCCTTTTAATTAATTGTCGTTAATTAAATACGAGTAATCGAAGGAGGTAGCACTAAGTGTGCACGGCCTTCGACTTAAACATTTTTTTGTTAATCATTGTAAGATTAATTCATTATCTTAATTCCGACGATTTGTTCTCGTTACTAGGGAACATACTCGTTTTAAGAAAATGAGCAGTTTATTGTTTTCGAACAACTCGATTAGTTAGAAATTTGTAACATGAGTAAAAAGTGGCGTGAAAGAAATCTCCTGTTGACTAGATATATAGTATTTGTTTTTATTACTTTATAGTGTTGCAAGGTCTACCTCAAGATAGTTATTTTACAATTTATTTAAATATATTTAGAATAGAAATGTATTATAAATGATATACATAACAAAAGTATATCTATATTATGCATTCTATGCAAATGCACAAATAATAATTTGAAAATAAGTACTCATAGAAGGATTGTCTCAATGGACAAATTGTCTCATTTAATGGCAATAAATTCTCAAATCAAATCAATGTATCCTTATGGTGCTCCATTAATGCGAGTCACCAACATTGTACATAGCCGTTAGCTTATATAAGCAAACATATGTATATAAGAATTAAAATATCAAATAGAATTAAACAAATAGCAAATAAATAGCGAATAAATAGCACAAATATATATATATATATTATATAATATATAATTGATGATATAGTAAGACATAAATTGAAATAATAATTAAAATTAAACAAAAAAATGAATGCGAAACCGTTTGAAATAGATTATTATTGATCTTATTAAAATGGATATTTTAGAATAATTGCTATATCTTAATATAAATGACGATAAAGTCTATTATACATAATATCATGAGTTTGAATAGATTTCATCTTTATAAGATGATCAGGGTGCTTAATTTTTTAATTATTCCAATGTACATTTATAATAATGTGAGTCCTAATTAAAAAGAATCTCATTTGAGTTGAATACTATTGTACCTCACAATTATTTGCCATACGAACATTACGTAAAAAACTTTGTATTTTAGGAACAACAAAATGTTAAACTTGTTTAAATAACTATTACAAAATATGATTCCTTATTATCGTATAAATATTAACCGTAACAACAAGTAAATAAATTGATTTTTGATAATTTAATACTCATGTTAAGTTTGTACAAAATATTCAAACAAATAATAGATAATGAAAATTATTTCTTTACATATTTAATCTTTTCTATGACTTCCCTAAAACCCCACTATATAAAATAATTCCATCAATTCGTAAAATAGTATTTATGATTTTAATACTAAATATACCAATTAGGAAATTGTTGGTATCATTTTGTACAAGTAATACTGCTATTATAATAGTATTATAAATTTTCTGCTATATATGATCCGCTGTGTTAGAAATAGGTATAAATAAAGTAATATTAACATAATTTATCAAACACCACTCGAATCTATTTCTGTCAACAAGGTAAAAGCATAACGCTATATCATTTTTTATCAGAAAGCTTAATAATTATCCATCGACAGTACAAATACATGTATTTTTAAAATGTATTTTTTATTAAACTATCGCATAATATAAAATAAATCATTTCATATTGTTTATTCTAATTGTAATTTAAAACTATATTTGTGAATGTATAATTAACACATGAAAAAAAAAGAAAAATTCAAAAGGAAAATCTAATTGTTATACTAAAGGTTATCAATAAATATTTCTTATTAATATTTTAATATAATAATCTAAAATGAAAAAAGTAAAAAAAAAAACCAAAAATACACTCACCCATAACCTGTACTCGACAAATTGCACATGTGTCACATTCGACATCCCAACTCCACATAGCCACGGCATTCCATTTCTTCAAAGTAAATAACTTGTCGTTTTTAACGTTATCACCATCACCACGATCTCCTAAATCTTGATCTGCATCAGCCATGATTAATTTGTAGGTTAGAATCACTGACAAACAGATAACACCGTAGTCAAAGACGATCTAAGCCATTCGATAAGACATTCGATTCAAATCACGTGATCCAAAATGGCGCTCTACGAGATATCGAATCTCGAAATGTATTCGAATAATGAAATTTGTTTTCTTACATGTTTTCCTTACTGTTAACATTCTTATTTAAAATACTATTCTTTTAAAATGAAAAAAAAAGTATTCTTTAAAAACATATATCTATATTAATTCACACACACACACACACACACACATCAATAAATATTATATATTAATATAAATAAAAATGAATTAGCGCAATATTTTATTTCTCTTTATACTTTGTTACTTTTTCCCGCTATTTTCAAAGCAAAGATATAATATGCGAGTTAAGTCATTTTATTAATTATATACAATAATAATTGTTACTTCGCAAGGTTCTTAAATTCGAATTTTAGTTGAAATGTATTTCAAACGGTTATTACAATACATTTAAAAATGAATCGATGAGGCGAAGGCTTAAATCTGATCGTCAAAGCTGAGGATATTCAATAGTATATCCACACAATTCGTAATGATAAAACGAAAAAGATATTCATTGAACTGGTAATATACATAAATATAATCGAAATATGGTAAAACCAATAACGACATGTGCACCGATTGAATTTCCATTATATTCAGCATCAGAGGCATATAACACAAAGTACAATCAAACACAATGTACAGTTTAATACTTATTATGTATAAGATTTCATTTGAATTCTCTATTAGTACTTTTAGTAGTAATGTTCGTCAAACACCATTCCACAATAAACTTCTTGATCAGCCACAGTATCTTCTTTATAGTTCGCATACTTTCACGTTTCTTTTATTCATTATATTATATAATAAAACATACGTAACTTTCGATTTATTATCTTGTTTAGAAATCTAGAGGAAAAAAAAGAAAGAAAAAACAAAAGCATAAAATATATCCACAAGAAAATATTTTGTTCAATCAATTAAATACGAATTCACAAGTTTCCAAGTTTTCAAAGTATTCTCATTTCAACACGAAAATACGAATCGAAAGAAAAGCGGAAAGCGTTGAAAAATAAAAAGAATATCCAACAAGAACAACAACAAAATTTAACCTCATCCCTTTTTCTTCGAATTCTTTTATATCGTCTAAATGATTTCAAGTAAAAATCGACAAAGAACACATTAAATCGATTTTCCTAACTCGACGTAATTTAAAAACACTCTCAAAAATCAATTTCATTTTACATAGCACGGATACACTTCATTCACTTTGAATTTCCCAGTGACCGCACGTAGTATCTTCTTTCAAATATCTTCTTTTACAATCTAATCAAATATAGTTTTATTTTTTTTTTTCTTATTCTTTTATTTTATTTTATCTTCTTTATGCAAAGAGTTTAATTCGTAAAAAGAATCCTTACGTTCGCACGTTGTTCGAAGGAAATGAAAGAGACAATTAGAACAACGATTGGCGATCACGATTATCAATCATCTTATGTTAATTATATGAAATTTATAATTTGTCTGTATGAAAAAATACTTCAAGACAAACTCAATTAATTATTCTTTTTCTCACAACGATATGAAATATGCATTCCAATAATATGAAGACGTATCGTGATCGTAAAAGTAAAGATTTCTTTTCATTACATGATTTTTTTCTTCTTTTATAACTGTGAGTTTTTACGTAACATATACACACAACATCGATTGAAATCATCGATGTATCGCTTACATATACAAATGGCCTTTATCCGCAGTAGTTATTCACTATCTAGAAATACAAGCCTTTAAATCAAGACTCAAATATAGATAAGAAAATAAGGAACAGCTTTTCGTGCAATAATATTAAGAAAAATTGTTAAATCTCTATAAAAGATAAAATAATTTCGTCTCTTTACGTCGAGTTGTATGTGTCACAATTATGGATCTTCTCTTTCGATCATCATATTGTTTTTTTTTTGTTTCAAACTCATTACTGGATGTGTACACATACACACGCACGCGCGCACCCACACACACACACACATATACACGCTTGTACACGTAACATTTGCAATATGTTTGATCAAAATTTTCTTGAATGCATACTAAATAACAGTAAAGGTGCATTTTACGTTCGTGTGGATGTCATTTAATAAAAAGAAGTATTTACATTGAACAAATACTTGAAAGTATGTCATTGTGTTGTATACAATAAATAGTACTCGCTGCACTTATTGTTGTCCCTACTCATTCACTCTCTCTCTCTCTCTCTCTCTCTCTCTCTCTCTCTCTCTCTCTCTCTCTTTCTCTTCCTTTCTTTTTATTCACTCACTTTTTATTAAAGAAATTTCTTTTCGCTTAAAAACAAATTAATTATCGAGGTGTTAAAAGCCAAGAAAAGCTGTTTATCTCTTACTTTGTCTCTTGTAATATTACTCCATCAATCTTTTTGTTACTAGTCGAAGAATATATGTATTATGCACTTGTTTCTATGCACTTTGCACATATACACGCATAAAAACGTTAGAGAAGTCTTCGAACATGTACACATATTTATGCAAATTTCTGCGATAGGCATTGTCGCTTGAAGAAGTACAAGTTAAATTCAGATAGAAATCGTGTAATCGGAGCAAATTTATATCATCTCTTTTTAATTTGCTTATTCTTTATTTATTTATTTGTTTGTTTGTTTGTTTAATTTCTTTTATTACTTTTTTTTAAGCTTTTTTTTCTTTTTCAAAATTTTCCCAAAGCGTTTTACATTTTATTGGATAAAACGCAAACACATACCTCGAGCGCATTAATCAAGTTTACGTTCTTTCTTGAGGATATAAATGTAATTGGACGCTGCTCGAATTTCGATCTTTTAGAAATTCGTTGTCGAATTCACGTAAAGTATTTTCGGGAACGTTAATAAAATATGTTTATTTTATTTTCTTTTTTTTTTTTTTAAATTCGCCACGTATGATAAAAAGTATTATTTATGTATGTATGTATGTATGTATGTATGTATTTATGCATGTAACTATTTTTCCCGGTTGCTTCCAGTTGTATCCCAATTTGTATGTATGTACGGCAAGCCAAAGGTTAATTGGTAAAACGAATGACTCTCAAAGCTGCAACGAACAAAACTGTAACTGTAGAAATATGTGGCAATGATATATCGAAGCAATCGCGTTATTTTATTTCGTATTTACGTCAAATAATTGAAAACTTAATTGCATTGAGAGTTATGCAATAATCTTATTATTAATTTCATTAGCAGGTAGAAACTGAATAGGAATGGGATAGATAGTCTTCTAGGATTATGAGTGACAAGGATAACAAGGGAAAGTATCTTATTTTCTTTTTCATATTTGTTTGCTTTTCTTTTTTTTTTTGCTTTTTTTCTTTTTTTTTCTTTTTCCTACTCGAATGAAAATTACTTCGAACCTCACATGTATTCATTTATCTTTCACTTTCACTCTCTCTCTCTCTCTCTCTCTCTCTCTCTCACTCTCTATAATCTTAAAATGTGAGGAATTCACACGTATGCTACAGGATACAAATCTTTTACTGACACATAATACTGAAAATAAAAGAAAACAAAAAAAAATAAAAAGATATCTCTATTATAATTTACAAAAAATAATATATATGTAATTCCGTCTATATGAAATAATCACACATCTTTGGACCAACTCTTGTTTTGGTGTATCAAATCGTTACAAAAAAGTCTTGCTTCGTTCTAACGATAAGCCTCATCGCTTTAGTTGGAATTAATCAGTTTTATCATAATATATACTCGATTTTAAATAGGGTCTATCATTTTTTTGAGCCACATTCTATATTACTTGTCCGTTTTATATACGTATATTCTTTCATTGATTTATCCTTAAATACATCAGCGTTATGTTATACGATAATAATCCTTGATATTTTTTTTCTTCCACTTTCATTGTTCATAGATAAATTCAATACGTAACTTTTGTCTATCTTTCTATTATTGTAAATCTACTGTATTTTTACGTAGGGCGTGTAATTTGTATTTTAAACACATAATGTGAAGTTTGACTTTTCTTTTTTTTTCTTTTTTTTCTTTTGTTTCTTTTTTTTTTTTTTTTGAATAAATATAATTTGTCTCTATATCGATAACAACTACGAGAAATAGATAAAGAAAAATGATTGCGATACGATTAGGGAAAATAAAAAAAAGCATAAATTGTAATCCTTTAAACGGCTATCCTAAATGTGTCGAACATTGAAAAGTTATTTGTAAACAATACTACATTAGACAGATAGAGAAGAGAGATAATTAGTCTTGAAAAAGGTACTATACAAAGTATAAGAAAAAATCAAATCACGTGCTACATATTTTACTAGATTTTTAATTATTTTTTCTTTTCTTTTTTTTTTTGTTCACAAACTTACGCACGCTCGTATGCGTTTGTTAATGTTTTCATATATTTATACATATATTTATGTTAATACAATACACATATATGCGCACATATACATGTATGCATTTATTTTTTAATTCTTCATTTTCTTTTCTTCCTTGTTAAAATTCCTTATATTCCATTTTCTTTTACTGTATAGATTTTTCTCTTTTTTTTTTTATTGCATTTCCTATCTTTAAACTTTTATCCACATCTCTTGCACCCAAATAAAATTATAAAACAAAAAATAATAATAACAGCAAACTTATTGCAAGGATAAAGGGTTATTATAAGAGAAAATTAATAGAAAATTAAAAGAAAAGAAACAAACAAACAAAACATGCGTAAAAACAAGGATTGAAAGGTAAGAGGAAGGGGCCAATTATCGACATATCATTAGTTGCATTCATAATATTCCTTTTGTAAACTTGTATCGAATGTATCTGTATGATTATATACGTCTCATGTAAATTCTGATTTAGCAATTTTAAGAATCCTATTAAATTGAATATTAGAATAAGCACATATAGAATAATTCTGTCTTATTAAATCATATTTTTGTTTGTTTTTTTTTTTTTTCTTTTTTAGACATAATCATGAAAAATCTTTTCGATATTTTTTGTTCATTATTTTTGCCGTATCTTTTTTCTACAAAAAGCAATAAATTATTGGCCCTGTTTCGTTATTTCCCTTGGCTTTGACATAACACACGCGTACAAACAGTACTATAATCGTTACTATTCTTAATTAATCATTATCATTATTATCATTATGAAGTATAG